AATCATTAGCACAATTTTTGCTAATGTATTCCTAAAATTGATTCTTTAATACAAATATGAAGTTGCCAATTAAATCGTCTTCGTCAACAACATATTTGTATTAGAGTTTCAAAATAATTACTCACTGCTTTAGCAGTGCCGGGTTGTGCGAAATTCGGGTTAGCAATAAATCGGCTAACCCGGGTCGCCAATACTATTGTTGCCCGGGAAAATTTGATAGCATTTTAAGTGATATTACAATTGTAATTTAGTTTACTTCATTATGAAAAATTTACTATATTAATGCAAATAATGAAATGAAAATTAATACATACTTATGCAAAAGATATGATCATTTATGTACTACTATCTACCTTTTTAAATACTATGTAGTATCTCTATATACTCCCTTTGCTATTATTATGATAAACCCTTTATTTGCTTTTCCGTATTAGTATTATTAATGACAAAGTAGTTAGTCATAAAGTAAGTAATACAAAAAATAAGTTACTTTAATTACGCAACCTCAATATAGTAGTTCAATTAATTAGCTTCACATGTGTAGTGAGGTGATTTGAGTGGTATTACTTACACTACCTTGGTTTAAGTTTATTTCATACATCCATTAATGTGATAAAATTAATTTTTAATATACTGTTTTGCTTATTGCCCTTTATTTTGGGCTTAAGAGAATATTTGATTAAATTCTTGTTACGAATTGATATACCAATGTTTCTCTTCATTGTGGGTTTGTTGTATTTATCTAAGACAAGTTTGAATTTGCTTTTGTATCTTGTAAATGGAGTTATGGAAATGTAGAACATGCTAATAAAGAAGTGTTGCCTATATCAATAATATCTTATTTGCTAACTATGGATTAATGGTTCAGATAGCTCCAATTTCAATAGCCTAACAATATAATGCTTGTGTCTATTGTAAACATGTATTTATATATTTCGCACATTTCAATTCCGTAAACATGTTTTTATATATATATATTGTATATATTGTGTCTACAAATATTTTTGACCATATATATATAGTAGATATTTACATATTTCAATTCCGTAAACATGTTTTTGACCCCTCTTCTCCAAGCTGGCAGTTAGCACCCAAGTTCATTCTGACATTAGCTACATCCTCCTAGACCACTTATCAATATCAACCAAATACACAGAATAGCAAATTGTAGTGTTAAGCAATGAACAACAAATTCAACAGAAAAACCAAAAAAAATTAAAAAAAAAAAAACAGAAGAAACACAACCATTATATATACTTCATAGTTTGATACATTACTTAATTAGAACTTAGCACCCTATCTTTATATACCTACACATACCCCATCATCCTACCATAGTAGTTTCTTTCTTAAATCTAATAGCAAAAAAAGCCTAAATATAAGGGCCTACTTACATATTATCATTTGATCAGAGCCACAAAAAAGGAACCTTACAAAAGGCAATAAATACCTACAAAAGCAAAAGGCACTCTTCTACCAGCAAATTACGGACTTCTCCTTCGATACATGTCAGAATCTTCACTTGATTCCTGGTCTCCACCACAATAATCGCCAGAATCAGAATCAAAACCACTATCATTAGCAGCATCAGAGTAGCCACTGTGATCAGGACCACTATCTGAATCAAGTAGTCCAGATTAGTTGGGCCTTTACAACAAAGCCCACTAATTAATCTAGAGCCAATTGAACAAGCTTACCCTACAATGCCAAATAAAGATTACCACTATTTGAATCTCTTTAAGATTGGGCTTCTTCTACTTCACTACAATGTCGGCCCTTTAAATTTATATAATTCATTTAAAGCTATTTCTAAAAAGTCTGATATTCACTTTCTTAATTCAGTCAATTTGATGACTTATAATTCACTTTTAAGACGCTTTATACCTATTTATCACTTGAAAATAGATAATTTGTAAACCCTCACATTAAAATTACATATCCTAAATAGTTAATAAAATTCCAATACAAAATACTCTATTTTAATAATTAAACAATATATTTAATCAGCAACATCAATTTTGTATATCATTTACTCAATTAATCCATTAACAAACATAGACACACTCATAAAGCAATAATTTCAACCTATTATCGATATCTTGGGGAACCGCGTGCAACGCGCGCGGGTGCACAACTAGTATCAATAAATTTCTCAACTGCTATTCGTCGCTCCCATTTTACCGGGTAACACTCCCTTTTTGACTTGAATGGACAACTATGCCCTTTATGCAATTTGGGTTATAAAAAGGAACTTGTTCCCCATTTGGACACATTACATGAAACGGTCCCCTCACTTTACGACCTTGCTATCCCGAGCCTCCCAAAATCGGTCCCCACGACCTTAAAACCAAATCGGTCCCCACGACCACCTTAATTTTTTTTTTTTTGAAAAAAAATAATTAATCGTGAAATTTTCCGACGGGTCTTGGGTCATGGACGGCGAGTGGAACATTCGTACGCCGGAGAATGCGTCGGAACATCCTGTAAGTTTTTTTATTTATTTTCAGCAAATAGGACATTCGCCTAAAATTTCCGGATGTCCTAGGTACATCCGCCTAAAATTTCCGGATGTACCATAGAACATCCGGAAATTTCAAGCGGAAGCAGGGATCCGCCTGAAAAATCCGGATGTTCCATGGTACATCCGGAAATTTTAGGCGGATGTACCTTGGGACATCCGGAAATTTTAGACGGATGTCCCTGTTTATATATTTTTTTTTTAAATGTTAAGTACGTTTATTTATTTTTTTAATGTTAATTAAGTTTGTTTTTTTTATGTTTTTTTTCGTGGTCTTGTGATTATTGTTGTGATTTAGTATTTGATAATTAATGTAATTTTTTTGTATTAATATGATTATTAGTAATATGATTATTTTTTGTTACATTATTATTATTATTATTTATATTATTATTATTATTGAAAATATTATTATTATTATTATTATTATTATTATTATTATTATTATTATTATTATCGTAGTTGTTGTTGTTGTTGTTGTTGTTGTTGTTGTTGTTGTTGTTGATATTATTGTTGTTGTTGTAGTTGATATTATTATTGTTGTTGTTGTTCTTGTTATTTTTATTGTTGTTGTTGTTGATGATGATATTGTTATTATTAATTAGTAGAAATATAATTTTAATAATAATAATAATAATATTATTATTATTATTATTATTATTATTATTATTATTATTATTTATTAATTAATGTTATGGTATTATTGTTTTGTATTTGTTGTTATAATTGTTTATTATTATTTTTAATATTATTATTAATATTGTTATTGTTTTGTATTTGTTGTTATTATTATTAGTATTGTTATTATTATTATTATTATTATTATTATTATTATTATTATTGTTATTAGTATTGTTATTATTATTATTATTATTATTATTATTTTTATTATTATTATTATTATTATTATTATTGTTGTTGTTGTTGTTGTTATTATTATTATTGTTTTTATTATTATTATTTTGACACAAACCGTGTTTTGTTTAATTTGTATAGGATATGGAATCTGAGGAAGGCGGTGACGGTGTGAATTATAGTGGGAATTTTGTCACAGATGCGTTTTTTCCTACATTTGACAATGCAGTTACATGGGCTGATGGTGTTTCCATAAAATTGGGATTTATATTAGTGAAATCATCTTATAACAAAACCAAAGATGGTCGGTCGTATCGGTATTTGCGATGTGATTGGTCACGAAGGAGCAAGCCGAGAGATTTGGAGAACGCGATATGGAAGGACACCAAAACCAAAGCTAATGGTTGTCCATTCTACATCAAGATATATTATGAAGTCAGCACCGACAGTTGGAAGATCACTGCGAAAAATGATCACACCGGGACACATAACCACCCAATGATTGTGTACCCAGAGGGTCACCGTAAAGTGAGCGGATTGAGTCCGGGTGCAAAACAGGTTGTGCGGGACATGACAAAGTCCAAGGTTTCTCCCCGTAACATCATGTCCACTATTGCCGAGCAATTTCCTAATGATCATCCAAACATCCGACACATTTACAATTGCCGAAATGACTTCAGGATGGAGATGTCCGAAGGAAGAGGAGTTGTTCAGCAATTTCTTCATCTGGCGAGAGAGAGTTAATACATTTACTGGGTCACGAACGATGATCACAACGTTTTGCAACATGCATTTATGGTGCACCCGATCATGGTCAACCTACTCCGCACATACCCACATGTCATAGGTATGGATTCTACTTACAAGACCAATTGATATAACATGCCTTTTTTTGAGATAGTAGGCGTGACACCGACAAACCAGAATTTTCTAGTTGGATATGTTTTCATGCACGACGAGTGCACGGCTAGCTATCGGTGGGTGTTGCAGAGATTACGGGAGTTGATTGGGTTTGATAAAGAGCCATATGTATTTATTTCAGACCGTGATCTTGGGCTATGTGCGACTTTGAGAAAAGTCTTTCCAGGGACGTCACATTTACTCTGTCTACGGCACATCAACGGAGATGTGGAGGCTAAGGTGACGAAGATGTTCGGAAACAAGAAGGTTGGTGTCAGTTTTAGAGCTGGGAGATGGTTCAAAATTGTGAATGCAACAACACAGGCGGAGTATGATCATGCTCTAGCTGCCATGCAAGTGAGGTGGGGAAAATATCCGGCAGTGATTCAGTATGTTCAGAGAACATGGCTTTGTCATAAGGAGAAATTTGTGAAATTTTGGACGAACCAGGTTCTTCACTTTGGTAACACCACCAACTGCAGAGTTGAGAGCCAACATTCAGCAGTGAAAACTTGGTTTGAATCATCCACGGGTTAGTTGTATTATTTTATTAGTTGTTCTCGTTGTTACGTAATTGTAATTATAAAAAAAATTAAAATGTATTTACTAATTAGAATCATTGGCAGGTGCTTTGGATACCGTATGGGCCTGAGTCCATTATCATATCGGTAATCGCATCATACAAATTCGTAATGACTTGGAGGCATCAAGGTCTAAAATTGGTCAGATGTACAGACAGTTTCCACTGTCACGTATTAATGGCAAAGTGTCTCAACATTGCTTGAAAGTTCTGGATAACGAGACGAAAAGGATGCGGGATTTGAGTTACCAGGTCCATGAACGGTGTGGATGTGCTATGCGTGTGACCCATGGTCTTCCATGTGCTTGCCAGATACATGATTCGATAGTTGCACAGAAAGGATTGTATAGCAGCCAAATTCATTCTTTCTGGAAGACACTGGTTATTGGTGATGGTGTTAACATTCCTGAAGTGGTTAATGATTCGACCGAGGAGGCTGCACATTTTCGGTCCCTAATTGATGAAGTCATGGAAAGTGACCCGGCCGTACGTCGAAATGTAACACGAATCATTGAAGAGGAGCTACATCCAGATCATTCACACCTTGAAGAACCACATATCAACCTTAACACTCGTGGTCGACCGAAGAAAAATGACACCAGGCGTGATCGTAGCTATTTCGAGCATGTGAACCGTCAACACACTCAACGTAGTGGTGACCCAGAACCAGGTAATATTAAAATTCTATATGTAATATTAAAATATGTAAACTTAATACTTGTAGCTTTACTAATAATTTATCTTTTAATTTTGTGTTGTAGATCCAAGTGACATTAGTCAATGCAGGTATTTGAACTTGCTTCCAGCCCCAATGTTGCCGTACATTTCGTCTTGGAAGGATGTCATTGGTGATGGGAACTGTGGCTTTCGTTGTGTCGCCGACTTCTTCTTTGGCGATCAAAATCAGTGGTTTGACGCTCGGGAAACAATAGCGAATGAGATCGCTGGTCATCGTGATTTGTACGAACGGATTTACGGGCTTGGGCGACTTTGGATGAACGTAGAGCGTATTCGATGGGATGGTGGGGCTGTTGGGGAGCGGCATAGGATGGTTACAATTCAATATTTATTTCCCATTGCTACGTGGTTCAACGCAAGGGTGATTTGTCTCGGGGTAGGCCTAGTACCAACTTGCTACTACCCATGCATCACAATCTTACCGCTGAGGGCACGCAACGGGGTTCGGTCACCGACTCGAGAGTTTGTGATTGCTACAGTTGGTGGATCACATTTCATCCGTCTTGACCTTGTACCTGATTCACCACTCCCGCCGATCGCCGGTTGGTGGACGGAACACCACGAGGATAGTGTCAATGGATGGGATCAAGCATATCAATTGAGAAGGGACATGTGGGATGCATTAGTTAGGTAGTTTGTAATGTACATTCACTAACTTTGAACATTTGTAAGAAAATTAGAATTATGAAATTAATTTTAAATGTATTTGCTTTTAATCTAACATGATATGCAACAAAACATCAAATATAAAAATAAATAAGTGTCCAGTTTATACATTACATTTAAAAACAAAAAATAAAAATAAATTCATAACATAATTAAAACCACTAACACAACTTCTAATCAAAATAATCTAAAGTCCCATTTTTTACTTCCAATCAAATACAAGCTGCTCAGTCATTGTTCGAGTCTCACTCGACATTTCAGGATACTCAGCCAGTGCTCTTTGGTGAATCTCCATGGACCGACCCATCCACTGCAAATCAAACAATAACATATTATAAACACAAAAATTCATAGAAGTCATTGTTAATATAATAATAAGCATAAATACTTACATAATCAGTGTTAGTCCGCTTAGGCAGGTTGCTTGTAACTCCTGCACCTGGAGATACCCGCGGGTGAGAAAACCTGTACAGCCACTGCATGTAACCAGGCGCAACCGAAGGAGCTGCAGCACTAAGCCTGGTGAGGGCACCTAAAACTACACTCTGAGATACCCCAGGGACAAACCTCTTCCACATCACATCTGTCATCTCGGTCGGGAAGTCTACCCGATACATCTTCAAGTTAGTCGGCCTCTTGGCCTTCTCTGGCCTGATGATCTAGCGGGGGATGCCTTGCACAAAACCAAACTGGCGCACCACTCTATCAGGCATGTACGGCTCAATGATGTTACGGTACTGGATGCAGCCAATGAATAAAGTGGGGGCACTCATAATGCAGGATCAGCTCCGTACGGTAGCCAGTTCACCTCACGGTCAGTAAGCGCATCAATTCTAGTACGAAAAGCTAACAGGCGCTCCAGGTTCTTGCTAGGACATCCCGCTCCAACATCCCAAGCAGACGCACGAGGCATTTGAAGGTCCCGGGTCAAGGTACCCTACTGTGGCCGAAAGCACGGAAAGTACTCGTAAATCCACGCTTGCAGAAGCGTGAGACAACCAGCAATCGAGTCAGCACCTTTCCGTGATGCCGTGCCCAGTTGCCGATACAAGTAGGCCAGTGCAGCTGTTCCCCAAGCATACTCGTTAATAGGGACATCCATGTAACATAGCTCGTGGAGGAAGGAAGGATGCGTACGGTTACCACTCTTGTCTACAAACAGTGTACCTCCAATCACTAACCACAAGTATCCATCAAGCTGATCACTAAACTCCCGGTCAACTGCCAATGTCGATTCAAAAATCTTATCAGTCAACACCCCACTACCCTGCCAAATGGTCTTTGTGCCGCAAATCTGAAACAGATCATCTGGAGTCATATCCATGGTGATCGAGAACGCGTCCCGTAACACGTCCGTGCTAGGAGTAGTGGTCACCATATTGCCTGCGACCCGGTAACCCAATGTTGTACACGTCGTGCAACAAGATCGTAATCTCCCCAAATGGCATGTGAAAGGTGTTTGTATCTGGATGCCACCTCTCAACAAAAGCAGAAATCAACGGCCAATCAAGTCTTTTAAACATCAAGCCGGGCAAGTGAGACAACCAACTAGCATCAATCGCTGCGAGGTCCTCCACAGATTGACGACCTCGCCAAGTGAACAAGTCAGAACATAACTTTGTCCTACTCAAACAGCGCAAAACACTACGCTCCTACTCCATCCAGATATACCGTGCCACGTGACCGCCAAAACTAGGGATAACTGACCCATCCTCAGGCCCACCTGGCATCGGTTCCTGCACTAACCATGCCTCTGCAGAGCTGGAAGTAGGCTGACTCGATCCACTACCAACAAATCTCCCAAACTGACCCCTATATACCATATGGAAATCCCGAGGGTCCTGTTATTCATCCCGGTCACTAGCATGACTAGCCGAACATTCGTCTTCCTCGTCAGATATGGGTGCTCCACTTGCAGAGTACAAGGGTCGACTACTACCAAACTGTTGGTCTCCCGACCAACCATTAGTAGACCCATATTGCTGTTGCTCGGGATGAAGCGGTGCTGAACAAGATGTCTGTCTCCTAACAGACGCATTCAGACGTCGTGATATTGCATGTCGAGCACCAGAACCCTCGATCTACATAAAAAAAGAAAATAATCCGATTTTAGTAATAATAATAATAATAATAATAATAATAATAATAATAATAATAATAATAATAATAATAATAATAATAACAATACTAACAATAACCATGGAAGGCCAAGAATAACAACAACAACAAATAAACTTAACAACAACAACAATAACCATAATAACAATAACAACAACAACAACAACAACAACAACAAATACAAATTATTAACAACAACAATAACCATAATAACAATAATAATAACACTAATATCAACAATAATACTAATCATAATTAAAAATATTAATAATAGTACTACCAATAACAATAATAATAATATTATTATAACAACAACAACAAAAAATAAATTAAACAACAACAATAACCATAAAAACCCTAATATCAAATTAGTTTAATAACAATACTAATCATATTTTTAAAAATAATAACACTACAAAATATGCTAACCATAATAATAACAATAATAATAATAATAATAATAATAATAATAATAATAATAATAACCATAACACTTCAAAATAACAAAAAAAATAACAAAATCCAAAAAAAAAATTAAAATTAACAATTAAAAATAACAAAACCATATTATTAACGGGCAAAAAAAACAAAAAAAAAAAAAAAAATTGGCACATCCGCCAAGAAAATCCGGATGTTCCATGGAGGATCCGCCTGGAATTTCCGGATCCTCCATGGAACATCCGGATTTTCTGGGCGGATGTTACTTCCGCCGGCGGATCCTCCATGGAACATCCGGATTTTCTGGGCGGATGTTACTTCCGCCGGCGGATCCTCCATGGAACTTCCGATTTTTTGGCGAATCCTGGACCGAATAAAAAAAAAAAAATTACCTCGCCGCCTCCGCCGCTGCCTCCACCGCCGCCGAAGCTCCTCCCTCCGAATTTCAGCCTAATCCGCCTCGAATCACCCATTTTTTTGTGTTTTTGATGATTGTTGGTTTTTTTAAAAAAATGAAGAAAAAAATTTGAATTTTTTTTTTAAAATTTTTAGAGAGTTAGAGAGTAAGAGAGTTAGAGAGAGAAGTAAGAAAGTGAGAAATGTTGGTCGGGAAGTGGAAAAAAATCGTATTTATATGTTCGGGGTAAAATTGGAATTTCAAGACAAAAAGGGAGCGTTACCCGGTAAAATGGGAGCGACGAATAACAACACCCATAAATTTTCAAACATATGTATTGAAAACTGGAAAAGAATAAATGAGAAAAATAAAAAGTAACCAATTGGAGAGAGTATCAAATTATTTAAAATGAAAAAAACTAGTTTTGATGCCAATTAAGATACTAAACCATTCAAAGTAATTTCAGTTTTAGTAGACTTATAAGAGCCACATACACAATGCAAGTCAATTAAATGTATTAATTTAACTAAAAGTTAATTTTAGTAGACTTTTAGAACCTCATACAAAAGTCATATATATTTATTTACTCATTTGTTTAATTTGTCTATGTGGTACTCTTTTCCTTATATATTGAATCGGATATAGTAGATTGATACTCATCACATTTCTTCCATTCATTCTTTCTCTCTATTAATTTAGGGTTCTTTTTTCCTCTAATTTTCAGGTTTTTTTTTTTAATTAATTAATTTTTTTATTTAATTTTTTTTTTATGAGAAGTTCTAATTTTCAGTTTTTCCAAAACAAAAACATGAAAACTAGAAAAATTAGTTCTCAATTTTTAATTGTGAGTATTCAAAAACTATCATGATTAGCTTAAGCAAACTAAATTAAGCTCTTCTTTTCTTTTCTTTTTTTTTTTAAGGAGAAGGGCTCTACCAAGCCAGAACCTCTCATAGGTCCTCACGGCCCGGATTAATAGGCTGAACAATTTGGAAGAGTGGGGGAAAGGTAAGGGAATCCCACTCCCCCAAATTATCACTAGTGGAGGGGATTGAAAACTTGAAAGATACTCTCCTTTTCACTAGACCAAGCTTGACTTGGTTAATTTAAGCTCATTATACAAGCCACATTCTTTCACACCAAAAAAAAAAAAATACAAGCTACATTTTTTTTAAAAAAAAAAAACAAGCTACATTATAGGACTTCTAAAAATCTAGAAAACCAAACTGAAAACTAGGGTTCGTTTGGCATCACTGTGGTTTTCTGTTTTTTGTTTTTTTAAATCATATGATATATATCATGTAATGAATGAAAAATTAGTCAAATTTATTAAAATTATGATAATTTTGAAAACTGACAACCAAAAAGTGAAAACACCTTTTTCTTGTTTCCTATTTTTGGTTTTTAGTTTTTAAAAAAAAAAGAAACTGAAAACAAAAAACAATGCCAAACAAGCCCTAACTGTAAAATCAAACAAACCCTTAATTTTATTTTTTATAATTTGGTACCCATGGATGGACTTGGGCCAAAATTAGCCCTTAACCTCATAACTTCAAAACAAATTTCCATGGCAAATTATAAGATGCACCATGGTGCATATAGTTCTATGTGAACCACCAATTAAAATATTATCTCTATTCTCTTTCCTCCTTTACTTTCCTAATTTCTGATTTTTCTCTCCTCTATTTTCTCTCTCCTCTATTTTTCTCTCTATTTTATTTTTCTTTCTCTTGAATTCGTTCATCATCCTTTTAATTTAATTCTTTCATATTGTTAATCACCATAGAATGAATTTCTTCATTACAATAGATTAAATTCAAATTTTGTTTTCGTCAACCTTCGATTTGAAGCTTCGTTAATGGAGTTTTACAATGAAGTAGTGAAGCTAAAATGGTGTCGTCGTCAAATAGAAGGTGGTTAAGACGATGGTGAGACTATTTTTCATGAGATTTCATTATCTAAATCACCATGGCTTGGTTTGAGTTTCGAAATATGTAGCTTTTATATTCTTCTGATTTTTGTTAGTGATAATTGTACATTTTGTTATGAACAGTTCTGAATTTGATTATATTTTAGTATTTTG